TGAGGGGGCCATAGTTCCCCCATGCTGGCTCAGGAATTCTGGGAGTTGAAGTCCACGAGTCAATGAAGGGGCCATAGTTCCCCTATGCTGGCTCAGGAATTCTGGGAGTTGAAGTCCACCAGTCATGAGGGGGCCATAGTTCCCCCATGCTGGCCCAGGAATTCTGGGAGTTGAAGTCCACCAGTCTTAAAAGAGCCAAGGTTGCCTTCCCCTGGTCTAGGGAGATTCTCCGTTATCCAGGTCCCGGTTGTTCCAAAGGTGCTTTTTCTTTTTTTTCTTTCCAAAAAGGCAACTGGACTTTTTTGGTTTTTTCTTGAGGATGTATCCCTTCTCACCCAAGGAGCTTCTTCAGTTCCGTTCTCCACCATTCAGTCAGAACTGAAGAAGCCTCTTGGATGAGAAGGGAAACGTCCTCAAGGAAAAACCAAAATAGTCCAGTGGACTTTCGAAAGGGGGCTTCAGCTCGGACCTCCCCTCAAAAAGCATTTTGCTACATTACCCTCCACTGACCAGCAACACTCAGGGTTTTCAGCCTGAAATCCGTTCCGTACAGGATGACAAAACACAACGCTGAGTCCAACTTCCGGGCTTCTTCTGGGTAACGTTCGAAATCCCTGGAATTCTTGCCGGGCCGGATCTGTTTGATTTCCCTGATGTCCACTGCGGAACAAAGAAATGAGACATGAGTCAGCTCCATATTTCCACAAAGTCTGAGCTGGAGTCTGCAAATACCTCCTGGGTATTCCCCGACCGTGTGAATCACACTTTCCCACGAGGTTGCCAGTTGCAGCCACAACCTGCATCCCCTTCCCCTCAGCGCCATGAGGACTAGATCCCAATCTGGCTGATTAGTCTGGTGTCAACACCGCCACTTGGTTTCCATTTTCGGAGTCGGTTCCAGAGATCCGAAAGAAGCTGATATAGTCAAAATTGGAAAAATCCACCCTATGAGCATCTATGTAGTTCAGTGTTTCTCAACCTTGACAATTTTAAGGCATGTGGATTTCAACTCCCAGAATTCCACAGCCAGCATTGCTGGCTGTGGAATTCTGGGAGTTGAAGTCCACATGCCTTAAAATTGTCAAGGTTGAGAAACATTGATGTAGTTGGTACATGTCAGGTGGTGAAAGATCACACATCCACTTGTGAAAGTCCAATTAAACTGATTTATTGCCGCTAAGCCTATGCCTAGGAATGTCTCAATTAAAGGGGAACACCTGGGTATAATTAGATAAGGGTCAACGGCATTCAAGAACTTAAGTTTGCTTGTGGCTACGTAGGGATTCTAGGCTGGTTCCTCTTTTAACTCCGCTGAGGTTCAGCCGTTCATTCTCCTACAGTATGTGAGAAATACTTTTGCCACATAAAGAAAACTTGTATAAAATGCTTTACAGATGGCATATGACCCCAGTGAGAACAGCGAAAATGTTTTTAAAAATACCTCAAATAACTGTTAGAAATGTAAACAAAGGCCAGGTACTTATTACCATATCTGGTGGACATGCCCCAAAGCAAAAAGGGTTTGGGGTCCAAATACATTCATGGTTGGACAAGATGATTAAAAAACAAATAGACCTGAAACCAGAATTGTTTTTGTTAGGCATAATAGGAGCTAATTAGCTAATAGGAGCTAATTAAGCTCTCCTTAAGAGAAGGAGAGCGGATATCTAATACTACATGTATTAACAGCAGCAAGAATTGTGTTTGCCCGATATTGGAAAAACGAAAACTTACCAACTGAAGAAATATTAATTAAAAAATGTTTAGAGTGTGCAGGATAGACTGACTTTAGAGATTAAAGAGAAAGAAGACTCAGTGTACTTTAGAACATGGGATAATTTTTATCAATGGCTAGAAAAAACGACTCAGAGAGAAAGGAGTGTGATATGTAAGTTCCAATACATACTAGTAAGAAGGATGATATGGAGTGATTAACTAATATTGTCTTAACTATACCTATTGTTATCATTTAGTATTATATCTATTATTGCTGTTTAAACATATGTACCCAGACAATATGCTGTCTAAATACTGAAAATGTTACAGGGGGAAGCCCCAGTCCTAACCCCAACCCTGATCCCAACCTTGACCCCTTTTTACCCTTAACCCCATAAAAATTAATAAAACTTTTCAAAAAAGAAAAACTTTGGGGGGGTGACGTTGCCTATAAAACGGTCAGATAAGAGAGGGCATAGCCCATAGTTGCATGTAGATAGTCTTCACTTAAGAATTAGTTGCTGAGCAGCTGTTTGAAGTTATGACGGACCTCCCCAGAGGTACTTAGCACCCATTTCTGACATTCCGATAGACAGATTGTTGTGTGCACACACACAAACACACAGTCATGTACTTGCATTTTGGGCACTTTGGGAACTGGGTGGCATTTAACATCCGGGATTCCAGGAGTGGGTGAAATCTCACACCATGCGAGAAGGATAACAATGGAAACAGATCAGGAAAATTTCCATAAGCCAACACAGTGCTGGGCTGCATTAACAGAGGGATGGAATCAAGATCACGTGAAGTATTAATACCACTTTACAAGGCCTTGGTAAGGCCACACTTGGAATACGGCATCCAGTTTTGGTCACCGCGAAGTAAAAAGATGCTGAGACTCTAGAAAGAGGGCAGAGAAGAGCAACAAAGAGGATTAGGGGACTAGAGGCTAAAGCATATAAGGAACAGTTGCTGGAATTGGGTATGTCTAGTTTAAGGAAGAGAAGGATGAGGGGGGACATGATAGCAGTGTTCCAGTATCTCAGGGGCTGCCCCAAAGAAGAGGGAGTCAAGCTATTCTCCAAAGTGCCTGAAGGCAGGACAAGAAGCAACGGATGGAAACTGACCAAGGAGAGAAGCAACCTAGAACTAAGGAGAAACTTCCTGACAGCTAGAACAATTAACCAGTGGAACAACCTGCCTCCAGAAGTGGTGAATGCTTCAACACTGGAAGTTTTTAAGAAGAGACTGGACAGCCATTTGTCTGAAATGGTCTAGGGTTTCCTGCCTGAGCAGGGGGTTGGACTAGATGAGCTCCAAGGTCCCTTCCAACTTTATTATTATTATTATTATTATTATTATTATTATTATTATTATTATTATTTCCATATGGGGGGTGTCCCTTCTCAAAAGTGGGGCCCCAGGACCCCCGTCTAGGCCAGCAAACCCAAAATGTGCAAAAGCTTTTGAATGCTGAATCTGCAAGAAAAGATTCAAGTTTCTGCAGAATTCCGTTTTGGCTTCACATCCTGTGATTGCAAAGATGCTGTCGTTACAACTTAGGAGGAGAAGAACGAAGCTGCGTCTTCGGCAAAGTTTTTCTTTTTTTTTTCTTTTTAAATAATATTTTATTAATTTTCCAATTTTCCATTTAACTATATCCAGGTCACCTGGTACAACTGGCCAGCTGATCCGTATCAGCTGCTGTCCTCTCGTCCATCTGTTTCCCCTCCTACATCTTATCTAACCCCCCCCCTTTATCTCTCTCCCCTCTCCTTCTGCTCATCGGAGCTTCCTTCCTTCCTTCCTTTCATCTGGCTATATTCCTGCTCCACAATAAAGTTTAATTTGGGGCCTTCCGGATGGGATGGACTACAATTCCTATCACTCCCAGCGCCTTTTGAATCAGGGTCTTTCAAAACTGCTTTGGGAGAATTCCAATATGTCCTTATTCACTCGTCCCTTTTATTGGCATGCATCTCCCTGGGCATATAAGGTGACAAGAGTGTTGGATAAGGAGAAAAAGGAGGGGAAGAAGGGAGGGAGGGAGGGAGGAAGAAGGGAGGGTGGCTGGATATTGGAGGAAGAGAGGGAGAGGAAAGTGAAATGAAAGGGAAAAAGAGAAAGAGAGAAACAGGAAGGACAGAGGGAGGATGGATGGGAAAGGGAAAAGAGAAAGAAAAGGAAGGAAGGAAGGAAGGAAGGAAGGAAGGAAGGAAGGAAGGAAGGAAGGAAGGAAGGAAGGAGGGAGGGATGGGAAAGGGAAAAAGAGAAAGAGAAAGAAAGAGGAAGGAGGGAGGATGGATAATGGAGGGAGGGAGGGAGGGATGGGAAAGGGAGAAAGAGAAAGAAAGGAAGGAGGGAGGATGGATAATGGAGGGAGGGAGGGATGGGAAAGGGAGAAAGAGAAAGAA